GCGTCTGAATTCATCTATGGCTCTTTGCAAATCGGAGTAACTGTTTGAGTCTCCCATTGATTTCCTACATGAAGTCAATTCATGTTCCGTGGCAGCCTCACAAGGAGCGCCGAAGGTTTCTTATTTTTCCCAGAAATCATGTACTTGTTAGATAGGTAATTGTACTGGACTTGTACAAAAAGGATAAGCGGAATGTATTCGTCAAGTGACTGTAAGTTTGAAAAAATTAAAACCTGCCACGACGTTCTCGGCTGTTTTCCTTAGTCGACAATGAGGAAGAGGGATCGTGCGATCATAATTCAACAAGTAACTTGTTTCGAAAAATACGAAGGGTATAAATATTTTGAAATTGACTTGTTCCAATTTCGCCATACCAGCGGCACTGGTCTGCCTCTCTCTCATGTAGCGACTCTCATGTAGCGAAAGTTCTTTCTCAATGCTCTTGCTGCTAGAAGCGTTGAAAAGGAGCTCTCAGTCAATATAATTATTTCGTTAATTTTCTGGCTCATGTGACGACAGTCACAAGTAACCAAGTTTGGGATTCATGTACATCGCCAGAAATCAAGGACATTTCGAGCCCGCTAACAATTATCAGCGGTATATCGTATTACACTCCGGAACAATAGAATATCAAGAGAATTCAATATGGCGGCGATCACGGCTCGATCTGCAAAGAAGAGTGTTTCGTACCATGACTTATACAATTTGAGCACCGCAGATCTTCTATTTGATGAAAAGAAAAAGAAAGGAAGGCCTGCAAGTAAATCTTTGGGATTTTTTGAGGCATAGTGATGACACGATGTCAGAATTTTGATTTGCTTTAATTTAATTTTCGCGCTAAGACTACTGAATTTGCATTTAATGCCTGGCATATTTTTATTCCGAAAAGGACCGAGAACTAATTTATTTCCCTGCAAGAACATAAACAAATATGGCCGACGATTCGAAGATCAGCGTTGCTCGTGTTTAACTATTTCAGTTATAGTTTTCAACATGGCGTCTCGTCACTTACTCAACATGGAAAATAAGGGATATTCTGGCGCGTTGGGAACTTTTTTGATGAGAGGAAATGGCAATTTTACAGGATATTTGGACGCTTCGAACTCTGTAGCAGTCAATTCGATCGAGAGCAGTTGACTTTAGTGATGCACTTTCCTGTAATAGGCGAGTGTTTGGGATGGAGAACGACGGATTTTGAAGAACTGTATGGTGACCTAGGTCAATGATCAATGACAGAAGAACTGGCTCGGGAAGTAAGTGGTTTTTATTTATCGAGTCCCTGTTAGGTTTGATGAATAGCAGAATCAGTACTGAATATGTCTTGATCGAGAGCAGACGGGACCATAAGGTCCTGATTGTTATATTTTAGAAATTTTATAAATTTCATTACAGTTTCTTATATTATTTGAACGCTATTATGGACGAAATGCGCAAGCGCGGCCGCCATCTTGTCCAATATTTCTGCCGATGTTTTCGGTAGGCTGATAAAGGGTTAAGGCTACAGGATAAAAGGTTAGGCTACAGAGAGGGAGAGGGGGGGGAGTAGTCAAGGACATGAGTACAGTCGGGCTTTCTCTTTTGGAAGGAGGGAAGGGGCGAGAATACCCAGTCTTCCCAAATGCCTTCGCGAGCTTTCGCGAAAAGGGCCTTTGCTATCGTTGTGGCTGAGTTTCGAAACCCACTGGAGACTTTCAAGTTCCTCTTCATTCCATATTCACCGCATGAGACAATATCTGCCTTTCTTCAGCTTTGTTTATTTAAAAAACTTAATTCAAATTCAAAGCTTTAGCAAATTTCGTTCTTAAAAAAAGGAGGAGGCTGATGGCCTGTGACATATCGTAAGTCGATCTCCTCTCTCTTAGACACAAACTCTCCATTGTTTGATCAGTTTTTCCTCGCCTTTCCTTTGCTTTATTTTGTTTTTCATTTCAAGCAGGCAATATCAACGCTTCATTTTATACTTAATACGTTTTCAGTAGCGCACAATTACGACACAGCTCTTGATAAACTTAACTTAAAACAATTGACTTGTGAGTGTTGTTTATACTCGTCAAGCAACGCCTCCTCTTTCCTGCGTGACGGGACCAAACAATAACTTCAAAGGGGAGTGACGAAAAGATTGATAGCTGATACCGAATACTTTCCTGGATAGTTTGCAGATTGCAATTTACCTTCTTTTGACCCACTGGCTACTTGATACATTAAGTGTAAACCTACGTCGAGGAGGGCTTTATACGTTATTGCAATTATTGTCAATGCTTTTCAAATGGTTTTCATTAACCAAATGGCTTGACTTAAAAGACAATGGGAAAAAATGCTTTTTTGGTGGCTGCATGCTGCAAAATCATGCAGCAATCTACCCCAGGATTCACGTAATGACAAAGGTTTTGATACTTTTGAATCAACGTTAAAGACCTTGGTCTTGCTTTTGATAATATCTGTATATAATTAGTTTCCCATTTTTTTTAATGTCTTAGTTATTTAATTTTTCTATACTTTTTTATAGTTTTTGATAGACTGAAATGTTGTAGTATTTCATGCAGTGAAATGCACTATTATCATTATGATATTATTATTATTAACATGTAAAGAGGATAGTACTGCTCAAGAAAAAAACAACCTAAAAGTTCTGAATATCAACTTCGATGTTATGATATCTATTCTGTCTTTCTTAACCCTTTATCTCCCAGATCAAATTTGTAATTCTCCTTACTGTCTCCCATGAAGTTCTTGTGATGTTAGTTTGGAGAATTTGGTAGTAGATCAACCAATAATCCCCCAATTAAGATTTTACCTTATTCTCATCACTTGTCTGCTTGATATAGTATTGATATTAGAAGGAGAAATGCTGTCTTTGTCACACATGGGAGTTAAAGGGTTAATATACTTATACTAAATTGTTAAACTTTGTATAGAAATTGTATTACCAGAAGAGACAATTTTTATTATTATACTACATTTATTCATTCAATTTATATTCTATTTTAATTCATCTTTGGTGTTTGTGATTGTTTCTCACCAATAACTAGTAATAACCAGTAATTTGTACAATGAACTAGTGTGTGTGTACATGTGTATGTTAGTAAATTGCTGTGTAGTAGAGAAGGACCATTTGAAGTGCAAGTAGACCCTCTAAAAGGAAATGAATCATCATTTTTCCTTTTTGAATAATTTTTTTCCAGTTAAATGCAACTGAGTGTACAAAGATGGCAAGATGTTGCAAGAGTAAGGATTTTTCAGCACTTACGTCAGGTGGTGTTTATGCAGAGGGAATGAAGTACCAATTCTTGCATTAGGAAGATCAGAAGTTAGTTCTGGGAAAGAAAAAAAGGATAGGGAGCCATCTCCATCCAGTGTTCCAAGACAGCAATTGTCATAGGTCATTGTTCAGAGGGAGGTCAGCAAGGCAATACCAACAAAGGTGTCTTAGTAATTGCAGACTTAACCTTGAAGGTATGGGCATATAACGCAAGGTTAAATTCTGTTAACACTTTATATAGTTTGTGGTAGAAATCTGTTCTTTAATTCTCAACCACATTACCTCATTTTTT